GATTTCCCCGTTTTGATCCAGACTTCCTTACCACTAGCATCTAAGATACATACACTGACAAAATATTGTACCCGAACTCATATTACAATCATCCTGTCTGTTCGTCCGCCAGTCTGTCCGTTCAACAAATATTTTCAATTTTCTCTTCAAAGGCATTAGTATGCTTAGCATGCATTCTTTTTTCGATTTATTCTTTACACTCCTGGGGTCAAATGATGCTTAATAAAGTATGATGCGATCCAAGTTATCAACTTTAACAGAGACAAATTCTGACTAACACTTTTAATTCGATATTTCTGAAATTGCTAGAAAAATCTATGTCATATAATAAATACCCAAGGAAATTATATATTATAAAACATTAAGAGACGAAAGGAAAAAGGGACACCAATCTGATAACGACAAATAAAAGCATGTCAAATATTAAATAATAAAAGGTTCATTTGCAAAGTATATCGAAAATCAAAGTCATGGTCAAAACCATGAAAGACAACTCAAATCAATCGTATGATAGGTAAAGATACGTGTACATACGTAGTCTTATGACAGTGAAGTTTTGGCGGGAATCTCAATAATCACGTGATATATAAAAATCATGATTTCTTTCGTTTTTCATCATCTTAGAAATACTTGATATTGATAAAATTGATCCTGAATGGGTTTTATAGCTAAGGAATACTTAGTTAAAACTTGAATGACGTATTTAACAAAATTAATAGGTTAGGAATAAACGGTCCCGTTACGTGCGTACGTCGAGTTAGGTACGTATGTCATTTTATTGGAAATCTCTATAAAGAATTGACAAAACATCATTACGTAATGTCAAAACCATATTATGTAAAGACAAACTATCATCAAGTAATAATAGAACAACATAACGTAATATCAGAGTTCCACATAAGACAGCTATTTTTCTATTTTCTCAAATTTATAACAAACGTACGATGATTTACGGTCAGAATACTTATAACAGAGATGTAAACGACGAAAGTCAGACATTTCAAAAGTTCTTTATATTCACATAATGATTCAACTGGCTTAATATGAGAATGCTACATGCTTCCTATATTTATCCGTTTAGCTTGAGAAGTTATATTTGTTTTTTCTTCTGTAGGCTTTGGATGAAAATTGATTCTTATTTCAATCGAAAATCTGGATATGAAAGAGTGTTAATCTGTAATTACTGAAAAATACGCCATATCAAAATTTGAAGTTTGATTTTTTTTAAATATCCTCCTTCCAGCATTATTCCTTTAAGAATAAAAAACACAATACAATCTAACCAAATTCTCATGCTTTTGAGGTAACAACTGTCTTGAATTTCATGAATATTTGAAAAAAGGTTTTATTGATGCAATATTTGAAAAAGGTTACGTTGATGTTTGTTCCTCGGTTTTGGTTTGTGACCCGGAATTGTTTTCGCTTAATCGATTTGACTATTGAACAGTGGTATACTACTGTTGCTTTTTTTTTGATATTTGTAAATTAAAACTTCAACCTTAGACTGTATCTGAATGGAGACTGGCACAATTCAAATTATATAAAAAAAAAAAAAAGGTCTTTCCACCCTATCTAGATATATCTAGACAGGAAAATATTACATTTTGGTTTAAAATGTCAATTCTGGTGAAAAATAATAGCTTAAGTTGAGCTGATTCCAAAAAATATATGGTTTTATTATTGTTTTGAGAAAAATAAGGGAGATTAGAAGGTAATTCCGGTTTAGAAAATGCTACTTTCGGTTTCGCTTTTTAGATTTGAACCTTACTTCACACTGATTCCAAAAATATAAAGTTATAGTAAATTGTACATGAAGTAAGCAAACATGGCTACTTTCGGTTTACAAAAGGTCACTTCCGGTTGACCTTTATCAAGGTCATATATATCTCTAACCCAATGTAAAAGACCCTTTGACTTTATCGATCCAATAAGGAAGTTAGAGCAAAGGTCAAAATCTAGAACGCCAAATCAAACTTTGACCTTTGGTTATTAAACAAGAGCCTCAAATAAAAAGACACTAGGTCTCTACTATATATCGTTAATGAGTTATATTACAATAATGCTAATATAAGGTATAAGTGTTGAGAAAACTCCAATTAAATGTCTACGTACCCTTTCAACTAAAATGTACGTGTTACGACATGTCGCAACTAACAATTCTGTAAAAATATTTTGTCGATATCTTATACAATTTCTGAAAATAAGTAATAACAAGGCAAAATTAAAATTAAAACATGACCTTGACCTTTGAACTTGACCTCATTTACTTTTTAATGGACCAAGGACCTCAAATCAAAAGACCCTATGTCTCTATCACTTATGGTTTGCCAGTTACAAATACATTTCACTTATATCAAATACAGAAAGGGAAATAACTCTTATATGGAATCTCTATACCGCTTTGGTCAAATTTAAACAGAACATCCTGAGGATATAACGAGCAATTTTGAAAAATAAATTTGTCGGTTTCTTTTATTGCTGCGAAGTGTTAGAAATAACAGGAAAAACAGTGTTCGGGGAGATAACTCTTACAAGGAAAAGTATTCGGTTAGACAGGGTCAGTTTCAAAAGCGTATAAACTGTTGGATATCATACACCAAATATCTAAGTGACATCTTTCAAAAAAAACAAAACAGCGCATAGGCGGATCTAGGGGGGAGGCGGTCCTTGGGGGCCGAGACCCCCATTCTGTGGGAAAAAATTGGTTAATTATATAAGGAATCACTAAAGCATGACTTAAGCAGGCCTTCCTTAGGTCAGTCAGTGCCCCCCCCCCCCCCCCCCTTATAAAAAGTCCTGGATCCGCCATTGCAGCGACAGAAAAATATTAGGCGGAAGAAAAAAAAAACAAAATAATAATCAGAACAAAAGCAAAATGTCTTTCCACGGACAAGTGGAAAGACCTAAAAAAAAAAAAAAAAAAAAAAAAAAAAAACACGTTTGTTCCTAGATCTTGTCGAAGCGTATATCCAATTTTCTGACAATTTAAGGAAAATTGAAAAAAATAATAAATTGATTTCTAAAATTAACTAGCACTTATACTTATCTTAATTTAAAATAATAGGAAATAAGAAGAGATGTGGTACGATTGCTAATGGCAATACAATAAATAAAGAACATAGATAACAGATGTGTTCAATGATAAGTCACCTCACAATTGCAATTTTCAATAATGAGCACAAGTTTAAAAGCTCCAGTATGACGCAACAAAGCAATTCAAAAGAAAAGACCAACAGCCGTATTTTGCCACAGCAATGAATGAAAAAAAATATATGATAGACAGCAACCAAATTCAACCAATTGATTAAATGTTCCTGGCTTATTTCAATTTTTTTTACCTATAGTACGCCCTAAATGCGAGTATTCATATACTTTGTGTCGTAATTCATAACGCTCGTTTTGCACTTCATTAGCAAGCGTGTTCATTTTTCTTTAAATTTCCTGTACCAAGCCAGGAATACGGCAGTTGTTATCTACAGTCAGTTTCTATGTATGTTGGAGTTCGTTTTTGTTGTACTTCAGTGTTTCTGTTCTTCCGTTGTTTTCCTCTTATAGTTGATGTGTATCCCTCGATTTTAGTTTGTTATCCGGATTTCTTTTTGCTTAATCGAATTATGACTATTAAATACAAACTGTTCCAACAAAGTTATGATGAAGAACGACTGAAATCGTCACAACTTAAGTTTTACGGTCAATATCATGAATAGGTTGACCGAAACGATATCGTTGTCTCAACACATTAGCGAGTCGCGGTCTGATATCTCTCTTTACCAGTTTTTTCGTGCGATCTCTAATCTAGATGACTGTGTTTTATTCCCCATTGTGACATTGTGTTTTATTCCACCACCGCTATAGGTAGAATGTAGTCCTGTAACGGGAAGTCCCCAAATATCAACAGACGACACAAAATTCCAGGCAGCAGATGTCATATTATATACAGCTTGATCTCTGACGCAGGGGCGAGGCTCCCAGGCTACACAGTAATTTGCATCATCCTCTCCGTGAATGGCATATTCATCATAACAGGTAAAATTACACAAAAACTGTGTCCTACATGGCTCTGAAAAAGTTAAAGCCTGCATTTTATTACATGACTTTAAATAAATGAATTGCAACTTCAGATGAAAGGACAACTCCCGATTGAATTATAAAAATCCAGTTAAAACCATTTGTTTATTATACTAGCTTTGTCATTTCGTATACAAGTTGCGTTTTTGAGTTGTTATCTTATATTCACTATGACAAACTCTTCCGAATTATATGAAGACTGTCAATCTGCAGGTTCATGTCTTGTATCATCATCTACTTTAGTGCAGTTTACGTATGTATATATTATGGGTTTCAAATATCTAGGTTGGAGGGTTCCTGATAAAGGTAAATCTAGAAAAGGGGCTCGGATGCTAGAAACTAAAAATTTGTTATTTTCATTCACCAATTTGTGAAAACGGATATTGTTTGATTGAAATCTAGATGACTGTGTTTTATTCCCCATTGTGACATTTTGATTGAATGTGAATTCGCATATGACAGGTAATGTATGCATATAAGGGGACGCTTACTAAGTCATTTGGAGTTCATGTGATTCCCTAAGTATTTGTTTGTTACCTCGATTTGTCTTTTCCTTATCGATTCACAAGATTTGAACATCGATAAATTACTGTCGCCTTAATTTGTAACAAGCCTCTCCTAACCTGTGACAGTTGTATAAAAAGACAACAATAAAACAAAATGTCAAAATCACTTTGGAGGGACTTGACTATCAGATCGACTCGAACCACAAGAAACAAAAACACAAAAACACAAAAGGAAAAACAACACAACATGTAGGCTCGTATAAAAAACGTTAAAATGCAGAATAAAGTATGAAGTTGATAGCGTTATAGACCCCAAAATATTGAATGCTTTGACAAATACAAATAAGGTAATCTATTCCAGGAATAGAACATCCTTAGTATGTTATATGTATCAAGTCACACGAGGCGAAATAATCTAGAATGCACTGACAAAAAAAGAATATTTAATAAGATGTTATTCAATAAAAAGATACATTATTATTTATGAAACATTTCTCAAACAAAACACGATAATGTCATATCAAACACAAGTTTGTTTGTGCACAGTTAATTCCAGAACAAAACAATTTAAATGTGCTATTTAATGATCGATTGCATCAACTGTTGATGTAGTCGTTTAATATATGGTCTCGTTTTTATACAAACAAATGGTATACATATCTCATTTTGCAATGTATAACTTAAAGTTCAACTATAGTTCATGGATTCAATAAATATTACTAATGAATACTACTTGGTCGTTCTTTCTTTTTCGGAAAGTCTTTGTTCGGTTTTACTTTTTCGACCTGTTTTGTATCATCCTGACGTATTATTATTAACATTTGCTCTGGAACTTCCTTACTCGGTATGTAGTCACGTAACAACATTAGCTTGTTGTTTGTTGTGGTATCATTTGATGCAATAATGAGACCAACAGCCTCTTTCCAGAAGCCCGCTAAAATGTTTGTGATGCCGTATGTTGACAAAAACGGTCTTCTCCTAACTGTTGTAATACCTACATTTAATGTTGCATTCATCATTGTCATTAAAATCCACAACAAAAACAAAACGAAGAAAAAGTAATAGGCTCTTCCCAGAACCGGCTCCACAGAAAACAGATCTTTGATGCTGTTTTTACCGATAATAGCATTGACCAATGTCGTTGATGACACGAATAAGTTTTTGTATGTTTCTAAATGCCTGCCAAATATTAAATGTCCGAAAGTTACAAACGCTACATACACCATTAGAAACATTACAAAACACCCACAAAGGTCACGACTCACGTGAGCAAGAACCTTTCCAAATTGATTCATTCTTTCATTGTAGCTGAGAACTCGCATGATTCGGACAGTTGTCAGAAATATAATTGAAGCCAATAAAACGTTAAACAGCTCGTCCCATGATGCAATATGACTGAAGTTGACGAATTTATTCTTATGATTTTCCCATTCTTTCATTGTCAAATTAATCATTATCCATCTACCAATATACATTACGGTAGTAACAAAGAATAGAATTATGATTAATATGTCAAGAACATACCATAATTCCCTAAACATCTTCTTTCCATTTCTTTGAAACAAAAGACATTGATGAACAGAAAATATAAGTATTCCAAGAAGTACAATAATTTCACAAATAAAGATGAACAAACCAAGGCTTCCGACATGTTGATAAGGCCGAAACGGTTTGATTGATGTACTTGCAATGACACCACCTGTTTCCGGAAATTCGGTCAAAAACGAGATGAAAACAAAAACATTGTCATCTACGTTGTACAAGGTGAATTCTGTAAACAAGGCTCTCGTTTTACGGTCTATCCATGTGTATTCATACAAATCATTAAGAATTAGACGTGATATGTTGTAGTTGACAATGAATTCTGCTATATATCCACCACCGCTATAGGTAGAATGTAGTCCTGTAACGGGAAGTCCCCAAATATCAACAGACGACACAAAATTCCAGGCAGCAGATGTCATATTATATACAGCTTGATCTCTGACGCAGGGGCGAGGCTCCCAGGCTACACAGTAATTTGCATCATCCTCTCCGTGAATGGCATATTCATCATAACAGGTAAAATTACACAAAAACTGTGTCCTACATGGCTCTGAAAAAGTTAAAGCCTGCATTTTATTACATGACTTTAAATAAATGAATTGCAACTTCAGATGAAAGGACAACTCCCGATTGAATTATAAAAATCCAGTTAAAACCATTTGTTTATTATACTAGCTTTGTCATTTCGTATACAAGTTGCGTTTTTGAGTTGTTATCTTATATTCACTATGACAAACTCTTCCGAATTATATGAAGACTGTCAATCTGCAGGTTCATGTCTTGTATCATCATCTACTTTAGTGCAGTTTACGTATGTATATATTATGGGTTTCAAATATCTAGGTTGGAGGGTTCCTGATAAAGGTAAATCTAGAAAAGGGGCTCGGATGCTAGAAACTAAAAATTTGTTATTTTCATTCACCAATTTGTGAAAACGGATATTGTTTGATTGAAATTTGCTTATACAATAAATAACAGACACAACTATCAAAATAATGGATACCAGCGTAAGCTACAATCTTGATTTCATTAGTCCGAACTGGTAGTTAAATTCATCATACAAGACATACTAATGAAGTTATATGTATTATGTATCGTACCTAGAACTGTTCTTAGTTGTCTCATTCTCATTGGACCAACACGAAAATTTACTTGGTCTTGTACATATAATCTTTTATCTGCATTTAGTTGATCTTCATTGGTATGGTACCGTGGAAAAAGAAACGGAATAAGGGTCTCATCGATCCATACATATAAATTAGACGCAGTTGTAACCTGCAAAACATTTTATAGTTCAAGACAGATTACGGAATTAATCAGGTGAATTTCATATTTTGTGTCTTGGTTAAGCATATTGAATTATGAGTGGTTAACATGAGTTACAGATATATTTTGGTTATTACCTCAATATAAACGACGAGCATATTTAAAATTGGATTTTTAACAAAGTTTATAATAGGAAATTGTAAAACAAAAAACTGAAATTTGTTCTCAATTTTGAAATTATTTTTGTACAACATTTGAGAAAGTTTCTAATTCTCCATGAATAAAGTCCTTTAACTCTGTTAAAATAAAATTGGAATTCTTTAAAATCGAGACAATAACAAGACCAGGTAAATTATGTTTTGAATTGGCAAACGGACGGAAAACAATATATAAGGGGACATACTAAAAATAAAAAAATATTGTTTTTTAATTCGAGATCATGATAAAACATTACCGTTTTACAGAGACCTTGATAAAAAAAATATGTTCTTTTTTTTGTGTATGTCCCCTTACGGCTTCCATAATACGGATAATACGCTTTGTCTACGACGGGCGTATGACAATTTAAATAGCATAAGATTGAGGTAGTGGATGTTAAGTATCTATCAAAACTATTCAAAGACAAAAAGCTTTTAATTTCGTATGTCTGATGCGCGTTTCGTCTTCAAACGTTTAGTCGGATGCACTTTTCGTTGTCAAAAGTTTCGTCAGATGCATGTTTCGTCGTCAAAAGTTTCGTCAGTTGTGCCAAAATCCATTCAGGTTCAAAGTCAAACCAATTTAGAAATTGAATCGCAATAAAAACCTAGAATGATAAGAAGAAAAAAACCAATGTAGACTTTAAAGTTTTATGAATAGCAAAATGTACAAAATGACGTATCATTGATATCTTATGCAGTTCTGACTACATGGCTTGTGATTTGCTTAGGGAAAGAAACGTCCACAAACAGTAGTATCGACAAAATGGTTGTGTTAGCTCGTAAATTACCAGGCATGAAACTTAGTAACCCAGATGCGCATTCCGACAAATAATGTCCCCTCAGTGATGCTGAAGTCCGAAATATTTAAAAATCCCAAACCTGGTCCTATCGTATCGCGAAATAGTAAGTTTATAAGTAGTCGCACCATCTTATTCATTATTTTGATGCATATATTTCTACATAAGAAAATGCCTGTACCAAGTCAGGAATATGATCCGTTCGTTTGATATGTTTGAGCTTTTGATTTTGCCATTTGATTAGGGACTTTCCGTTTTGAATTTTTCTCGGAGTTCGGTATTTTTGTTCTTTTACTTTTGTCTGTACTCACAACTCATTATATTATGAATGTTATAAAAAAACTTCTTTGCTGGTATCCAATGCCTCCGCATCGGATATCCTTCCACGTTTATGGGTGTTTATATGGAAGTATTTGCACTCCGTCCAAGATTTTTTTATTCTTTATTGCCCTTTAATTGAAGTGTTTTCTGATTGTATTCTTCTCGTAATTCTTTTCCCCATTTTGCATTCTAAATTAAAGGGTATCTGAAACAGGAAAAACAACTAACCTGATCATATTTCAACGTTGAATCTCCAACTGAGATATTATTTGATGTAACAAGTTGCTGCTCTAGATGATGTTTGACGTTATATCATCTAGAATCTCGGTTACTAAAACTGACGCAATACAAAACAGCAAGGAATATGATATATAAAAGTAGTTCAATGAATATCTCTTGCATTTTAAGTCGCTGTTGTCTTTTTTCTTTCAATATAGCAACTGTTGGTGGTTTTAATGGAGCTTGCGTCGCTTTGAAGACATCTAAAACAACAGAACTAAACAAAATTATGAAAAATAATATATTATACTAACATTTGATTTTGGAAGGATTTTATGGCCTTCTCACCGTCTTTAATATACATTGGGGTTCTTGATATTTGTGAATAATTTTACACTAATAGTAAAATGTTGGATTTTCCAGGAAAAACGTAGTCAAATTAATATACCAAATACTGTTCTCAGTAAGACACTTGTATTTCGTGTACTGATAAATAAAAAATGTCTCTACTTTTCGAAGCTGTTCTTATATCATTCGTTTTCCTGATTATCTATGCTGTCAATATAGTGGAATCTTATGCAACTGTCATACAAGTGGGAGGTTTAGCTAGCTATAAAACCAGGTTTCATCCACCATTTTCTACATGCGGAAATGTCTGTACCAAGTCAGGAATATGACAGTTGTTTTCCACTCGTTTGAAGCGTTTGAGCTTTTGATTTTGCAATTTGATAAGGGACTTTCCGATTTGAATTTTCAGTGGAGTTCGGTATTTTTGTTATTTTACTTTTTTCAAACCACTTTAGGATAACCTTTATATATGTTTACACTTTTTTTTATACGGGAATTACAAGGATACATCATTTTACAATAACACATTCTTTTTAGAACACCAAATGCTTATCGATTCCAAATATACTATCAAAAACTGCATGGAATAAACACCTCCGGTTATAGGTTAAGACCTAGAAAGGCATACAGGTGAGTAATTACAAGCAATGGAACAAAACGTGGGTCATAGATGTTTGGAACACTTGGAAAAAAACCTCATCAAAGATACTAATTCATTAATGTATCAGTGATATTTTATCATCATGTTTTGCTTAGTTTACTTGATATACGCTTAAACTTCCGATACTAGGGTGAAAAAATCCAAAACAAGGTTGAATTTAGTTTTGTTTTCAGTACCGATCCTTTATTCGCGTGGTCACAAGTGTATATGAAGTTAAAACTGTAGAAATAGGGTGATAAATCAATCTGGAAATAATCTAAAGGCCAGAAATAACCTATGTAGCTCACCTAGATCTATGTGCATTTTTAATAATGGCAGTCTCCAAAAAAAGTAAAAGAATTCATGACTAGAATTTCGTTTTTTATCAGGTAGTGCTAATCATTGTTTTTTTATCAACATTTTTTCTGTATCTACTATTGTTTTGACAGATATGCCTAAAATTATAAAAATCCTTATTTAAGAACAATAACTCCCATAACAAGTCGACTGACAATTTCGGCTATCTGACACATTTCTAGTTCTGTTCTGTTTTTGCTGATCATGTTTGCTTTTACAGTCGCTTTCTTCTGGTATAGAACCACTAATTCAGGTCTGGTCGGAAAGAACATACAAGAAAGTAGTACATACGTTAAACAAAATAGTTCCTACGCATAGCTGTATCTTTGTCAATAGGTGAAATATTTGGGTAGTTTTTGGTATCAAATGAAAGCTTGGGGACTTTGGATCACTGTAGAACCCTTGTTGAAGGTTTCTTTTGAATAATAAAGAAGTATATAAAATTATTATAGTAGGGCACATTTACCCTGTTGTTCAGATCAGAAGTACCTGTTTATGTACTATCAAACTTCCGGGAACCAGTACGCTCTAATATGCAATTAAAGGTATGTCGAATTTTTTCAGCACAAGTCAGGATAAGGTAAAGTTTTGACATGAAATGACTTCCACTTTAAACTTAAGACAAGTAGTAGCCATTAATGCTTGAAATTGCAAAATTTAACATAGAAAGAAATGGGGCTATGAATACGTGGTTTTATACCTATTACTGAAAGGCATGTGAAATTAAAATTTTAGAAATCATACCCATTACAATGAAAATTGGTCACATTTGTTGTTAGTAATAATGTTACATTATTTTTTCTTATGTAACAATTATGTTGGTGTCAAATTACAGCCCTCAAATTGCTACAAAAAGGTATTTCAGCCTTTTTTGGTCATTTAGCAAGCACACAGTTAAGACTTTACCTGAAGTTTAAATTTTTGCATTATCTAAGACTGAAACCAATGAAACATGTAAATCATGACTGGTTTATAGTATAAATATAGCTTTTGGTCAAATTATCTAGTAAGTGTACATGTTTTATTGGGTTTCTTAGTGTATCATTTATTTCAAAGGAAATGGTGTATACTTATATAGGAATTCCAAAATCTCACTTGAAATGCAATTCATAACCAGTTTAGAAAGTTGTCTAGCTGGGAGATACATGAATTGCTCTTGTTGATCCATGTTTATACATAAAAGTATGGTTTTACCTAATCGCTCTCCTTTTTCAACACGTAGAAAAAAGGGAGGACAAAATTATCAATTATATTTCATGTTTGGACCACTATATTTATATTTAAGGAAGAATCTCTGATAAAAAAAAGATATATAGGTAAGAACATTGTTATTTGAGTCGATATTAGCAAATAAGAACTGGTTAAAATTGAAAAAGTCTCATATCTGTCACTATTTAGTATCCATATGGAGTTTTCTCTGTATAACGCATATGTTACTACCAGTCCAATTTGAGCTTGCATTCAGTGATATAGTGTTTTGACAAAAACTTTATGTGTTTTTCCATGCTAGAAATAAATCATAGAAGGAAATTAAGTAAAGCAAAGGTCAATATAACAAGTTTGGTGCTGTTAGGTATAGAACCACTAATTCAGGTCTGGTCGGAAAGAACATGCAAGAAAGTAGTACATACTTTAAACAAAATAGTTCCTACGCATAGCTGTATCTTTGTCAATAGGTGAAATATTTGGTTAGTTTTTGGTATCAAATGAAAGCTTTGGGACTTGGAATCACTGCAGAACCCTTGTTGAAGGTTTCTTTTGAATAATAAAGAAGTATATAAAATTATAATACATTGTAGTAGGGCACATTTATCCTGTTATTCAGATCAGAAGTACCTGTTTTTGTACTATCAAACTTCCGGGAACCAGTACGCTCTAATAGGCAATTAAAGGTATGCTGAATTTTTCAACACAAGTCAGGATAAGGTATAGTTTTGACATGAAATGCTTTCCACTTCATTTAAACTTAAGACAAAGTAGCCATTAATGCTTGAAATTGCAAATTTTAACATACAAAGTAATGGGCTATGAATTAGTGGTTTTATACCTTCTTTAGCATTTGTTTAAAACGTAAGAATAGAATCAGAATAGATACGAGGATGCTATTTTACGTGTGTCTTTTTTT